CCCACGCGCCCCCCCCCCCCCCAGCAGACTAGGGAGACGGGGGTGGCGGGACCGCCCAAGTCCTCCACGGCTTTGCTCCGCCTCCCTGGTCTACTGACCTGGGAGACGCGGAGCAAAGCCGCAGAGCACGCCCGCAGGGGGACAGCTCAAGCGCGCCCGGGCTGTCCCACTGCGGGCGTGCTCCAAGGCTTTGCTCCCCGTCTCCCTGCAGACCAGGGAGACGGGGAGCGGCTTTTCTTGCCCCGGAGGACGGGGGCGGCGGGACCGCGGCGCATCTGGGCGTCCCGCCGCTCCCGTCCTCTGGGGCGAGAAAAGCCCCGTTCGTAACTGCGGACCCGACATAAGTCGGATCCGCGTAACTCAGGGACTGCCTGTATAATTAGCCAGGCTCTACATTTAGATTTAGTTGTTCCCAAAGCCATGCTCTCATTAGTGAATTTTCCATTGGAAAGCCAGGACCACTTACCGTAGAGAACTACACGGAAAATGTAAAAAGTGTTAGTTAAACCAGGACTATGGTTAGTGAAATCTATTTGCATCCTTCTACAAAATAGGTAAGTGATATAGCTCAGTACAGCACTTGAAACACAAATTATTGGTGGTGTATTTCTCTAGCACCCTCAAATTCATTTTAGGTTACAGGGCAGAACCATTGGGAAATTTAACAATATCATTTTAATTACAAGAAAATTCCCTATTGAATCAGGCTAAAAGCTTTCATTCCATTTCCAACACATGGGAAGTTTAGTTTTATGGCTGACATCCTTGATGCACCATTTAAAAGTTTTGTTCCCCTTCCCTCTACTTTCAAAGAAATGCTTTTGCAGACAAGCTTAAAGAACATTCATAAGACTAGAAAACATGGTGCTGAAACACCTTGTCAGACCTCACGTACAGAACATATGACATGCTTATCAAACATCTGCGTCAAGTCTGTTAAAAGGTTCAGCAACGTTGGTGGCCTGTGCTTAGATTATTTGCAGCAGGACTACATTGAATCCTGGCCTCAGAATCACATGAGTTTATAACACTTCCTCTTGGAGCCCAGACTCTGACACTGTTTCAGAAAGGAGAGACGCATCCTGGTTACTGCCAGAGATGCAGCAGAGCTGGGAAAGGGGGAGATAGAGGGTCAGGCAGCACATCTTCAGGCTTTCAGCAACAGCGGGGGGCAGGGTCACACTCACTCACTCACTCATATATTCCAGGTACAACCAACTATGGAGGGAAGAAACAAGATACAGTTTTTATATATATATTTTTTTTGTTTTAAATATACTGTTGAGTCAGAAAATATACACAAGAAATGTAAATAATTGTGACACTTCTATTATATTTTTTTGCCCTGTCACTAATTCCCAGCCTCTGCATTTCAAGATCAGTGCAAACATAACATACGGAAGATTAGTTAAACAGGTTACAGACATTTTATTTTTCCTATATAAGATACCAGATACAGCCACTTACCATCTCGTGTCAGGTTCATGCCACCAAACACTAGAGGCCCAACAAATTGGGCCTTGATATCTCCTTCAAAATATATGAAAATTGTTGGCAGGTTCCTATCAGGGTAATTGGGTATGCAGGTTGTAGAAATGGCTTTGATAAATTTAACATCTGGGAACTTCCTCGCAAGTCCACTTAAATGTTGATTTATCAAGGTACAGAGGGGAATTCTGTTAAAAGAAAAACAGGTCAAAAGAAGAACTAAGAAACAGAATATCAAGAGTAGTCCTCCACAAGGAAAGCTAGAAATATCAACCTATTGAACAGTATTTATGTATTAGAATTTATAAAACAATTTCAGGATATTACTACAGTGCTCATCACCCCAGTATAAGATTAGAATAATTCGTTACAGTAGTTCAACTAAGATTTTCCACTCTATTATAGGGAAAAAAAAGTGTACAAGATTCCTTTTTTAGCTTAGAATAGTGACAGAAATGGTAACATGAGGTGAAAACAGAAGAATCAAACTTGTATTTGTATTAAGAAGATGAAGAAAAATATTGTGTACTACGAAGAATTGATAGCATGTAAATTATATTAAAGATAATGAACACAAGCAAGCTTTTTAATCATTTTTACAACACATTTATTTGCAAAGTAGTGAAAACTACTTTTGCTTCCTTGAAAAGCTATTTTGTAACATCAGTGGAGTTGAGTGCTTTACTTGCCCACATTTTGTGCAGCAAGAGAAGACGGGCCACATAATTGCATCAGATAGAGAAGGAGGCTGGTGATCTTGAGGGCATAGCTTCAAGTGCATTTATATAAAAAAGGATTATGCCTGCCCCCAGATTTTCTCTGTGATTAGGATCCAGTGTACTTTGGTTGTAAGTGTTAAGTGTAACAAGTGTGTTTCTTCTTAATTTTAACTGACAGAATTCTGGAATTAATCCTTTAGTGTCCATAACACAGTTATGCACTTGTCTAAAGGTATTATCATTGTTCATTAATAGTTTCTGAAAATGCTGAGTGTTTAAAAACAGCATACTTACCCTTGTTTGTAAAGATGCAGGATTACCCATATACCCTTGCCAGCTTTGGTGACTTCTTGAACATAATCCTGTCCTGAAATCTCTAGAATTTCCCCAAATTTGTTCTTTATTTGAAGTGCTTTCCATTCTGCTATCCTTTGCTGTCTACACAACAAGGAGGGTAAAGATGGGTGAAGATAAATTGAGCAGGTTTGAAAACAGATGCACTTATATAACAGAACAATGATTAGACAATCAAAGTCACAGGTTTTGAAGTAGAGAGGAATGATAGAAGTCTCTAAACACCAGGATAGTGAAGGAGTGTTTACACAGGTTCACATTTAAATAGAAGAGCAGTCTAAACCCAATTAAATTATTGTATCATAGTAGAGTAAAGTCATAATATTCAACTTCAGACTCAGTGCATAAAATATATCTTGTTCCTGAGATAGAGGTAAATAGGTAAATAGCTAAAAATACGTAGGGACAAGTTCTCCACTATCCTGCACGTTGAACAGTCATTTGTATCTATACAAAATAATACCAAGTCAGAATGACAGGTGTTTTTTTTTTTTTTTACTCCCACACTATAGACTTATAACTGATTGTTCAAGAAAAACATGATAGAGATTCAGACCATAATCTCTCTGCCTCAGTTTCACTAAGGCAAAATTTTTTAGAAGTCTCCAATTTTTAGGTGCTAAACTCAAGATCTGATTTGCAGAGGTGTTTTGCACCCATTGACTTTAACATGGGTTATGGGTCAAGAGTACCTATGAAAAGATGAATCCTAAATAGGGTATCTAAGATGTAGACCCAAGTGGATTAGTAACGATAGTATGCAGTCTTTTCAACCAGGGTACAAACCACAGGTCTTCTAACTCCCGGTTTTGGGTCCTATTAAGCACACCTTTCTCCCCTTTTCTTCAGAAAAATGAAAATCCAATTGCACTGTATTAGTGTGTAAGGACGTAACCACGATAGTTTCATTTAGGCAGTTCTGCAAGCTGGCTCTCACCTGTACATTTTGACAGCTTGCTCGTCTTCCTCATTAAACTCATCTTCATTTTCTTCTAGCTCTTCCAAAGTCATGTCTTCGTATGTTTTCACTAGAAGGGGAGTAACATAGGGTTAGCAATATTCCAAGGAAGATTAGCCTGTGCAAGTTCTTTTTTTCCCCCCCTGCTGTTTTTCTAAGTTATTGAACAACACAATAAGACTATTTACAATGATTTGAGAAGGGAGTTCAGAAATCCTTAAATTCAGCATTTTGAACAGGCAGAGGGATGCTTGGTGCTTTATAAGCACTCCTCTCCCCAGATTTACTACACTGTAACCTCAGTACTCTGCAGGGTCTCTGATTCACGAAGACCCAGGATACAGACCCTGTCAGGGGAAGAAGGAAGCAGCTTTGTGCACTGCTGCTCCTCCAGCTGGGAGAAAAGCAGTGCAGAGGCACACTCAGCTGAAGGCTTTACCATGCTGCTCCCATAGTGGTGGGGGGTATTGGCTGTAAGTGGCAGGGGATGTCAAGCGACAGGTAAGCACTCCATTCTCATCCCCCTCATTCCCTCTCTGACTCAGTGAAATTTTAATCTGGCAAATCCTGTTTCCCAG